AGAAGGAGTAAACTGTTCCACGTTTATGCCTTCACTTATTCCCCCCCGAGACAGTCAGCACCCTCCATTCATATTTGTTCCTCTAGCGGTTGCTGTAATTTGCCAATGGCTCCATGTATTTATTTTCTATTGGTTTTTTAAAAAATTACCACAAACAGTGTCTTAAAACAACACCATTATTAGGTCACAGCTCAGTAGGTCAGTAGTTGAAGCAGGCCCAGCTGCATTCTCTGGTCAGAGTATTAGGAGACTGAAATCAAGATGTCAGCCAGTCTGTACTCTTATCTGAAAGCTCTAAGGAAGAATCTGATTTCAACTTTATTTAGGCTGTGGCAAAGTCCAGTTCCTTAGTGTTATAGGTCTGAGTCCCCCATTTCCTTTTTGGCTCTTCTTCCAGAGGCCTCCAGCATTCCTTTAAGGTGGATCCCTCCATCTTCAAGAAAATTATGCTTCATCTCAGACTTCTCCTTCTGCCACCAGCCAGAGAAAACTCTGTGCTTAATTTTATTTTATTTAAAAAAAATTTTTTTAAGGTTTATTTATTTTTGAGAGAGGGAGAGAGAACGTGAGTGGGGGAAGGGCAGAGAGAGGGAGACACAGAATCTGAAGCAGTCTCCAGGCTCTGAGCTGTCAGCACAGAGCCAGATGTGGGGCTTGAACTCACAGACTGTGAGATCATGACCTGAGCCAAAGTTGGACACTTAACCGACTGAGCCATCCAGGTGCCCCCTGTGCTTAATTTTAAACGAGTTGTATGATTAGATCAGGATGACCCAAATCATCTTCCTTTTAATTAACTCAAAGTCAACTGACAGCAACCTTAATTACATCAGCAAAATCTCTTCACCATGTAACAGGACATATTCACGGGACAGGGAATTATAGAAAGACAAAGGTCACTGGGGTCATTCTTAGAAGTCTACTACCTCAGTCCTCCCTAGTTTTTTCAGTAGCAGAGGTTGAAACCTTTTTATTTTTTATTTTTTATTATTATTTTCAAAGGCTCTTCAGATGGAAGTCTGGCATCTTAAACTAAAAGTCCCAATCACACTCACAGTAAGTTGCAAATTTATTTATATTACACTTGGATGTACAAAAAACTGAAGTATGTTTTCTCTCTAAATGATCCAATCACCTTTGCTAGCTACCACTCCACTTGAGCACAAGAAAAAAAAAAAAAAAACTTTTTAGTCTGATTTAATAGCCTTTTTTAGATTAATGAGTATCTATTGCCAAAGAAAAATTGAACTGGACAGGATTAAGCAGTCAAGGAAGACTTGTTCACAATGATTGCATGGGCACCCAGGTGGCTTGGCCAGTTAAGCATTCAACTCTTAATTCTGGCTCAGGTCATGATCCCAGGATTGTGGGATCAAGCCCCACATGGGGCTCTGAGCTGAGCATGGAGCCTGCTCAAGATTCTCTCTACAAGATTCTCTCTCTCTCTCTTCTCCTCTCCCCTGCTCACACTCATTCTCTGTCTCTCAAAAAAAAAAAAAAAAAAGCTTGCAGTAGAGGAGAGAGAGATTGAGAACTCAACTACATTGAAACAAAAGGAGCATTTTGAAGCCTGCAGCAAGCTAGTGGAAAAGTACTAGAGAAGGTTGTTAGGAAGGGGGTTGGTCAATGTAATTAGGCCATCTATGACTGCTAACTGGTGATTACCAAAGTTAGGTTTCATACTGCCACAAAGACCAGGAGATGGGGACACTATCATTTTTTTTTTTTTTCAGTTTAGCTTATTTACTTTGAGAGAGACAGAGACAGTGCAAGTGGGGGAGGAGAAGAGAGAGGGAGAGAGAGAATCTCAAGCAGGCTGTGCACTGCCAGTGCAGAGGCACTAGGCTCAGACTCATGAAACTGAGAGATCATGACTCCAGCCAATACCAAGAGTCTGGTTGGCTCAACCGACTGAGCTACCCAGGCAGGGGGCACTATCATTCTTGATGATTCCATTTCAAAGGGATGGTTCCCAGGTCCTTCAGAAATATACTAATGTGTTGTAAAACTGGCAAGAGGCTGGGAGAAGAGGTACATCTCAAAGGGACAAAGAAAAAATTACGATTTAATGTTTCCTAGAATAAATGCTCTAAGAAAAGGGAGGTCAGGGACCTACTGGTAACTGGCCCTATTGAACTTTGATTAAAAAAAAAGAAAGGTATTGTGTTGAAGCACCTGCACTGGAGTCCTCGGTTCTCTTTGCCCTTTCTATTGTCTTGAAATTGCTGAGTTCTGCATCATCTTAGTCAGACACTAGTATACTTCTTCTTGTGCACATTCTTTATATGTAAACACAGACTCTATATTCAGTGTATGTCTTTAATCCTTGAGGACCAGGACATTACAAGCAGTTCATTTACTCTCTGTCTTCCACTGGCATCTCTGCATATTGCTCACTTTATGTTAGGGGACACTAAGCCAAAAGCTGAAGTTCCCCAGTAATCTGCACCTCTCTGACACTATTCCAAAAGTAAACACACCTTCCATAGGTGTTCTGTCTTCCCAAACCAATCTCAATGTTTCAATCCATCCCTTTCCTCACCCTCACATCTCCCACCCTCACCCCAACACAAACACACCCACGTTAAGATTAGCAGCTGACTTCTTCCACTGACTTGTTAGTCTTCTTTTCATCCCCCAATGGCATACTCTTCCACTATTCCAAGTCTAATACTCTAGGCCCAGCTTATTCTATCATACCCTATAGAGTTAAGATCCATTAATTTATAAAATGTATTAGTTCCTGTCTTTTATGGCCAAATTGTATTGCTAAAGGGGCTAAAACTTAATTCATGAAACTCAAAGCTTATCATTGACTCATTTCTAGTACCACTTCCCTCATCCTGGGGCAATATGCTTCAAAATGTAACTTGGAAGGGAACATGACAAACTTATGGGAGAAATTTAATTCCCTGATTTAATATTTGCAAATATTACTCATGTCATACTCTCTTAATTGATGAAGGAAACATATGGGATGGTCACCTAGCTATAAGAACGTTTTTAAAGTCTTAACTGACAGATATAAAAACAAATGTCTTACATCTAGACTGAAGTTCTAACAATCTGTGCTTTCTTTTTTTAACTTCCATGAAAGTATGAATACTCCTACTTTTATCACCCCCCAAAATGGAATTTATGAACCCACATTTCGCTTACATAAAGTTTATTGTGTCTTAAACATGTGTCCTTTCTGAAAATTATGTCTATCACTTACACATAAGTATTATCTAATTACAATAAGTAATAACAGTTTTAACAATTATTTACTGTTTATTTTTTAAAGTTCTCTTCGGGGCGCCTGGGTGGCGCAGTCGGTTAAGCGTCTGAATTCAGCCAGGTCACGATCTCGCGGTCTGGGAGTTCGAGCCCCGCGTCAGGCTCTGGGCTGATGGCTCGGAGCCTGGAGCCTGTTTCCGATTCTGTGTCTCCCTCTCTCTCTGCCCCTCCCCCGTTCATGCTCTGTCTCTCTCTGTCCCAAAAATAAATAAACGTTGAAAAAAAAATTTAAAAAAAATAAAATAAAATAAAGTTCTCTTCAAGATAATTCTTAAATAACTATATAATACTTCATATGTATATTATATATAGAGATATTATATGGATATACATATATATTGTGTGTGTGTGTGTATATATATATACACACACAATATATATATATATGGAGAGAGAGAGCAGGAATGGCAATTGAATAAAATGCCTTCACTCTGAAACCCATCTCATCTTGTTAAATAGAAAGTGTAGATTGTCAGTAATTTATATTGAATTTTTAAATTGTGAATATTAATAAACTAATTCAATTTATAATTTCTTTTGGTTTCAATATGAGGTTTTTCCCTAATGTGTGTTTCACTTTAACACCTAGCACCATTAAGTTGACAGTAAAATTGGGATTATGGTCATATGTATGTTAGTTGTTATTAGTCAGAATAGAAAAGTAGTAATAAAATTTAGTAAGTTAAGACCTTAGACCTAGGATTGGTGGTGTTTCTCTGCACATTTAACATGTGCAAGTTACCATTTCCATCATCTTCTCTCATATCGTGGCCTTTGCCATTTTCTCCTCTCTGTTCTTGACATAGTCTAGTTATGGCCTCCTCCCATGATAAAATGGACAACTATCCTTCATCTTCGCTTATGTTACTGAGCCACCAAGTAGCTATTTCCTGATTTCAATTTCTTAAAAAGATTCTAGTGACATGGCTTCTTTACTTGACTCAACTTTATTACAGCTCTCCCAGTAGAATGCAGTAACAATGTGAATTATTTAATCAACATTGCATACGTCAAAAATATTCCTTACAACAGAGATTGTGGATTTGGAGGACAGAGTCAATGGATTTGGCAC